ATACCTCATGAAACTATTACCATGTTGGAACATGGAATTTGGGGAAACCATTCTAGGCCACTCATAAGAGTCTGGAAGTCTGAAATGAAAATTCTGGCGAGGCCTGCTCCCTCCAAAGCTTCTAACAAACTACCTTCCCTGTTCCTGCCTGCTTTCTGGTGATCGCATTGGCAATAGTCCTTGGTATTTTTTAACTTGTGGCTGCATTGCTCCAGTCTCTACCTCTGCCTTCAATTTCCCACTGTGCCTGTCTGTTATTGGTTAAATTGTGGGCCCCTTTCCAATGTTGAAGTGTTAATTTTCAGAAGCTTAGCATATGACTTTTTATTTTGTTGCTAGAATGTTTTTACAGGGTAGGTTAAAATGAGAACATTCCAGAGGTCTCTAATTCGACTCAACTTGTGTACATATAGGCATGCATACACAGCCTGACTCTTAGCATCCATTTTAAGGTCAAGAGTGGACCTGAACTCTGAAAGTCCATCCCTTCTGATGGGCTCACAGAGCTGTGCTCTCGAGCCAGGCTTCACCAAACTTTTTATTCAAACAGTAGCTACAGCATCAATTGGGAAAGTAGAAGCTAGGATCCACCCTTATCAGAGAATCTTGCACTTTGATCCTGAGGTCTCTCACACACAATTTCAGACAGATTCCTCATTTCTTCTCATTGTTTGCAATGGGAATAACTCCCTGCTTCCAGCCCTTTGATATGTTACTTATTCATATGCACATTCATTCACTGTCTTTGGTGGAGGGCACGGTGGGGTCCTGAGGCATTAAGATCAGGTGCTCAGGACACAAGAAGAGCACATGGCTCAGTGAGCTTGTTTACATTATAAACAGTAACTTTTTTGGTTGCAAAATTAGGTAAAAGTCATTAGTACAGATTATAAAAGTATATATATTATAAAAGTATGTAAACCATATTGTAAAAATCAACACACACACACACACACACACACACACACACACACACATACACACACACACACTAGAGATGAAGGTGGAGACCAGGATGATGCTACTACAAACCAAGAACTGCCAAAGATGGAAAACCAGCAGAAGCCAGGGATGGGATACAGTTTCTTTCTCACAGCTAAGAAACAACCAACTTTGCTAACACCTTGATTTGGGGCTTATAGCCGCCAAAACTGTGAGGAAATAAATGTATCTTAAAGCACTCAGTTTGTGTACAGTCATCCCTTGGTGCTTGTGGAGAATCAGTTCTAGAAATTCCCAGTAGATATTGAAATCCAAGGATAGGGGCAGGAGTTTTAATTTAGTTGTAAAGCATGTGTAAGACCCTGGGCTTAATCCCCAGAACTTTAAAAATCCATGAATATTAACATTCCTTTTATAATGTTACTACATTTGTATAGAATTTATGTACCTGCTCACATATCTTAATAATCTCTAGACTACTTACCTAAAATAATATGAATGCTATATAGTTGTATTATTTAGAGAATAAGGGGAGAAGAATAATGAGTCTGAATGTGTTCAGTACAATTAAATATTTGTATTTATGCATATGAGTGTGTGTATGTGTGTATGTCTTCGGGTGCTGAGTATTGGATTGATGGCCTCACACATGCCAGGCAACTGCTCAGCCCTTTAAAAAGTATCTTTGGGCCAGGCGTGGTGGTGCACGCCTTTATTCCCAGCAAGTGGGAGGCAGAGGCAGGTGGATCTCTGTGAGTTTGAGGCCAGCCTGGTCTCTATAGTGAATCCAGGGAGCCTCTGTCTCAAAAAAACAAAAAAATAAAAATGAAAAATAAAAATAAAAAGTATCTTTGAAACCCTGGCATGGTGTTGCACGCCTTTATTTCCAGCACTTGGGAGGCAGAGGCAGGTGGATCTTTGTGAGTTCAAAGTCAGCCTGGTCTACATAGCAGTAAAGAGCGTGTACTGCTCTTCCAGAGGACCTGAGTTCAGTTCCCACCACCCATATCCAGCATCTCACAACCACCCGTAAGTCTAGCACCAATGCACATACCCCAAACACATAAACATTAAAACATAAGGTAAATTTTTAAAAAATATTTTGACCTTAGGCATGGTAGTACACACCTTTAATCCCAGTACTCAGGAGGTAGAGGCAAGTGGATCTCTGTGAGTTTGAGGCCAACTTGGTCTACATAGAGAGTTCCAGGCCAGCTGGGGTTACCTTGAGACCCTGTCTCAAAATACAAACAAACAAAAAAATTTTTGACCTGAAAAGTCAAAAGTTGATTGAACCCATAGATGCAGGGCCCATGGGTACTTAAGGCCAACTGTTCTTTGTTACAGCAATCCTGACAAGTTGACTAACACAGTGTCTTCACATAGCCAACTTAAAAGAACATCAGTAAGTGTAGTTAGGCTCACTGTAATCCAGCATAACCTCATATTGACTTGAGTACATCAAAAAACTCCTATTTTGAAATTTTATTTGTTTTTTAAATATTCTATTATTTTTTATTTTATGTGACTGACTGTATTGCCTGCATGTATATAAGTGCACCTGTGTCATGCAGTGCCCTCGGAGGACAGAAGAAGGTGTTGGATCCCCTGGAACTGGAGCTATATATGGTTGTTAGTCACCATGTAGGTACTGGGACTTGAGCCTGGGTCCTCTGCAAGGGCAAACAATGCTCTTAACTGCTAAGCCATCTCTCCAGCCCCCAAACTCCTATTCGGCATGCAATAATTAGTTATAGATGCTTGGAATTAGACCGGCAACCTTCTCTCACCCTGGTTTTTGAAGCAGAGCATGTAACCTAGAATGGCCTCAGTTCCTTTTTTCAAATGCAGTCACATGCACTCAGCACACTCCCTCATCCTGAATACATATGTAGAGCATAACGGTTGGTATTTTCTTTAAATTTCCTATGGCAAAGTTAATGGGCTAGGTATGTGTATGTTAAAATTTAACCCACGCCTCCAGGTTACTGCCAGAAACTGTGTAGCAATTTATATTCTTATGTGAGTTACACAAGGTTTGTTTCCCACATGTACCTTTGTTAATGTTTACCAATCTGATGAGGGAAAAATAGTTTTAATTTGGTTTTCTATTACTATTAGTGAAATTAAGCTCCCTTCCCCCCCAATGCTGGGGATCAGAAAATGTAAGTTCTTTTAAATTAAATTGACCATTTATATTTTCTGTCCTCATAATATCCTATTTGTATACTTCACCAGTAATTTTAATACACTGCAAGAATCGATTCATAGACACTCCTTTGGGGGGCTTTTTGAGACAGGGTTTCCTTGTAGCTCCAGCTGTCGTAGAACTCACTATGTAACCCATGCTGGCCTCCATCTCACAGAGATCCCCTTACCTCTGCTTCCTGAGTACTAGTATGAAAAGGCATGAGCCACCACACCAGTCTAAGGAACACTTTTGTAGAAGAGGTACAACGTGTTTGCCAAGTGTTTTGTCCAGTTATCTTCCAGCTATCTTTTAAAACTTTTTTTTTTTTTTGAGACAAGGTCTCACTTTGTAACCCTAGCTAGCCCAAAACTCAATTTGTAGACCAGTCTGGACTTGAACTCACAGAGATCTACTTGCTTCTGCCTCTCAAGAGCTGGCATTACAGGTGTGTACCACTATGCCTGGCCTTTACTTTTTTAATTCTCTTTTAAAATATTTTATTTATTGTTTTTATTTATGCGTATGAGTGTATTACCTGCATGTATGTAAGTGCACCTCTGCTATGCAATGCCCTCGGGAGGTCAGAAGAGGACATCAAATTCCCCTGGAGCTGAAGTTACCGAGTGCTGCCATGTGGGTGCTGGGAACAGAACCCCAGTCCTCTGCAAGAGCAGCCAGTGCTCTTAACTGCTAAGCCATCTCTCCAGCTCATTATTTTTAAGGAAAACTTACAGTGATGTCAGGCAGAATTTTCAAACTATTATCTAGACTAATAACTAATGTTTTTTCTTTAATTGATTGTGGGTATTCTGCCTAAAACATCTGCCTAAAATTACATTACTTTTTTTGAGTCAGAGTTTAGTTATGTAGCTCAGTTTAGCCTGTGACTTGCAATCCTCTTGTCTCAACCTCATGAGTGCTGGGTTGAAAGGCCAGCACTGGGCAGAGGGGGGCGCTGAGGCAGGAAGATACGGAGTCCAAGTGTGAGGCTATCCTGGGTTACATAGTGAGACCCTCTTAAAAATCAACCAAACAAGAACAAAACAACCCAAAGTAAGATCATTTATCAAACTATTCTTTCACCTCTGAATTGACTTGCCGCCTTTACTTTATATGAGGTTGTTTGTAAATTCTGAGACTACTCAACTGTTTGCCTGAGCTATTAAAATAGCATTAGGTTACAATAGGGACAGTAGATCACAATAGGGACAGTACAGCAGTCCTGACAACAGGGTAAGGCAAGCGAAAGCACTGGGAAAAGTGTAAGGCTCTGCAAGCAAACGTTAGCTGCTGTTGTGCAGAAAGGAACACACGGAAGTGTTTCAAAGCTGGACTTTTCCACTGTTTCGATAGTTCACAGCGCAGGGAAAAAAAGGCCAGCGGCGAGGCGGCGACTCAGCGCCACATCCAAGCAGCACCCCGGGGGCGCCGAGTCTGTCCCACCGGGTAGACGAACCAGACTGCGGAGATGGGCTGGGAAGGGGCCAGCGAGGGAAGTGGGTACAGTGTGCCTGGGGTGAGCTACAGAGGGCCGGGAAGGTGCCGGTTATCTCTCCCTAAGGCGGTCCTGTTGCAGGATCCGGCCACCGCAGTCCCCCGCCAGCCACCATAGGTACGACCGAGCAGGAGAAACGCAACGGTGGACCGCAGAAGGCGAGGGTACAGCGCTGCCTCCTGCAAGGGCGGGACCGGGATTGGCCCTCGAGAGCGGGTGGGGCGGGGCTACAGGGAGCGGACTTCGGGGATTGGTCCTCTAGAGGTGGGCGGGGCGGAGCTGCCGGGAGGCGGGCCCGAGAGGCCAGCGCGCGCATTAGCGCAGGCTCTGTGGGCGGTGGGCGGGTGTAGCGCGGAGCCCCGCCAGCGGGAGGTGACTGAGTGCGGCGGATGCGGGCGTCGGCTCCGGGCCGTAGTCGCAGCCGGAGCTGTTTCCGCGCACCCGGAGCGGGAGCCGGCGGCAGGGCGCGGGGCAGGTGAGTGCGGTGGCGCTGCGCGGCTAAGGGCAGTGGGGCGCGGGCCGCCGAGGAGCCCCGCGCGGGCTGGCG